TTCCAGGAAACTTTCCCACTTTTTCGAGGTATTGGCAGTTCTCATTTACAGACTTTTTCCGGTACAGAGAAAACGTGAAAGTATGTAGTATTGCTCGTATATCCCTCACATTAAGACATCAAAAAGAAAGCAGTTTGACTTCTGAAGTTTGATGCAAAATGAATCATTAAAATATACGACTCAGCAGGTTTTACTCCAGTCATGCCTGTATTTTAATATTCTGTGGTGTTATACACCCTGTTGTGATGTGATTAGAACATTTCTCCATTATGCTAACATCTTTGGGAAAGCACTTTAAACATTTCAACACTCTATTATATTTAAAATAGAAATGTATGCTCAGCACATAAGATGAGGAGGAAAGTTAATCTGATCCACAGTTTTCATCTACAATGAATATAGAACTTTATGTTAATGGCCAAACGTTAGAAGCATTTCTGTTAAGATCAGGAATAAAGAATTGAAGGGATGATCCCTGTATATCACCACTTCTACCTCAGGAATATACTGGAATTTGTAGCCATGTATATAGCCAGTCGGTTAGAAGTACCGGAAGCCCAGGACTTGGAATTTGCATCTGAAGTGGAGGCAGTGTTGTGCGACTGAGTCCTAAATCTCTGGGGTCTGCGCTAATTCCAAGCAGTTGGTTTCAGAATTGAATTTATAGGACACCCAGTTGGTGTCCGGAGGGCTGGAGAGTTGGTTGGTGTAGAGAAAACCCCACACATTTGGTCTCAGAAGTGTTGTGTGTAAAACAGCTCACCCTATTGTTGATTAAAAATGATCTTATGTATGTTGGTAGCTAAATATACGTGAAGAGAGGCACCTGGCTGGCTCAGTTGGTAGAGCATGCAACTTGATCTCGGGGTCCTGAGTTCATGCCCATATTAGGCATAGGGATTACTTTAAAACAAACAAACAAACAAACACACATGAAGAGAGGAAGTAGAAACGGTATCAAGGGAATTTTCTGATGGTTTGTTCATTTGCATTCTTGACTTTTCTTTATTTTTGACATGTGGAGCAACCAGCGGACCCCCCCTAGGAGTGGAACACTTGGTGCTACAAGGAACTCTTGAGGGTGCTTGGGTGGCTCAGCCGGTTAAGCGTCTGTCTTCAGCTCACGTCATGATCCTGGGGTCCTGGGATTGAGTCCCTCCTGCTCATGTGCTCACTCTCTCTCAAATAAATAAATAAAAATCTTCAAAAAAAAAAAAAAAGGAACTCTTGAAACAGCATTGTTTTTGTTTTTAAGATTTTATTTATTTATTTATTTATTTATTTATTTATTTATTTATTTATTTGACAGAGTGAGAGCGCGCAAGCAGGGGGTGCAGCTGAGTGAGAGGGAGAAGCAGGCTCCCCACTGAGCAGGGAACCTGATGTGGGGCTGGATCCCAGGATCCTGGGATCACCACCCAAGCTGAAGGCAGACGCTCAACAAACTGAGCTACCTAGGCACCCCTGAAACACAGGTTTTAACAACAAAAACAACAAAAACTCTACAAACTCAATCACCAAATTTTAAGTCCTTTGCACCCCTTTATTTGCATCTGGGTGCCTGGAAGTTGACAGGCAGGAGGCCTCCCGCCCCCACCCGTTCTCCTCTAAGCAGTCCTGAGAAAGGAGAATGTGAGGATGAAGCAACGCGGAGGGGTGAGAGAGCCCAATTCTCTAAGAGGCTATTTTAGAGGGAAGCTGGACTGATAATTCTCTATTAGGCCCTGCAAGACCCCAGCTAGACAGAGGAGAAATAATCTTAGGTATTTACAGCCAACTGATGTGCAGAACGTGCCAAAAACACACACCGGGGAAAGGAGAGTCTCTTCAGTAAATGGTGCTGGGGAAATCGCATCTCCATCCACAGGCAGAAGTTGAAAGTAGAACTCTACCTCACATCATACATAAAATCAGCTTTAAAAATGTATCAAAGGGACGCCTGCATGGCTGTTGGTTAAGCGTCTGCCTTTGGCTCAGGTCACGATCCCAGGGTCCTGGGATGGAGTCCTGCATCCGGCTCGGGAGCCTGCTTCTCCCTCTCCCTCTGCTTGCCACACCCCCTGCTTGTGTTCTCTGGCAAGTAAATAAATATTTTTAATAAAAATGTATCAAAAACTTAAAGTCCAAGACCTGAACCTGTAAAACTCCTAGAGAAAACAGGAAAAGTGTCTTGACGTTGGCCTGTGAAATGGTTTTTTAATTTGACACCAAAACCACAGAGGGAAAACAAGTTAAAATGAACAGGTGTGACCACATCAAACTACCAAGTTTCTGCACAGGGGCGCCTGAGTGGCTCAGTTGGTTAAGTGTCTACCTTCAGCTCAGGTCATGATCCCAGGTTCCTGGGATCGAGCCCTGCATCGAGCCCTGCTTCAGGCTCCCTGCTCAGTAGGGAGTCTGCTTCTCCCTCTCCCTGCTCTGCTTTCTCTCTTGTGTTCTCTCTCTCTTGAATCAATAAATTTTTTAAAAAATTTTCTGCACAGCAGAAGCATCCATCAAGAGTGAAAAAGCAATCTATAGAATGGGAGAAAATATTTGCAAACTATGTATCTGATATGGTGTTATTATTCAAAATATACAAGGAACTCAACCCACAGAGGGAACCTTCCTCAACTCAATAAAGAACAGCTACAAAACCTTATATACAGTGAACATCAAGCTTAATGGTGAAAGACTGAATACTTCCCCCACAGTTTGGGGATAAGGCAACAATATCCTCTGTTACCACTGCTGGTCAACATACTATAAGCTATAGCTAATGAAATTAGGGACAGAAAAGTGACGGAGGCCAGAAAGGAAGGTATAATCGTGTACCCATCGACAGAAGGTATTGTAGTTGCAGTAGGCTGAATGCCTCCCCGCAAACACACACAAAGGATAGGCAGAGCCTCATCCCTATAACCTGCAAGGGTTACGTTCAATGTCAAAAGGGAGTTTGCAAACGTGCCCTAGTTACGGATCTTGAGATGCGCGATGATCCTGGATTATCTGATAGGCACGGTATAATTAGGAGGGTGTGATAAGAAGGATGCCAGTGGAGTTGGAGACACAGAGAAGCTGTTGCTCTGATAGAATCAGGATGGATAGGTATCAAGATGTCACCTTGGAGGAAGTGGGCCATGAGGCAAAGCATATAAGCAGTCTTCAGAACTTGGAAAGTGCAAGGAAACATACTCCTCCCTGGAATATCAAGAAGGTTAACAGTGCCGTGGATCCATTTTAGACGTCTTATGTTGAGTACTATAAGAGAATAAATTTTGTTTTAATCCATGTAGTTTGTGGTAATTTCTTACACCCGCATTAGGAAACTAATGAAACAGTACACCTAGAAAAGCCCATGGAATCTACAAATCTCTAAAGTAAGTGAGATTAGTAAATTATTTATTTATTTATTTTTTAGTAATCTCTACACCCGATGTGGGGCTTGAACTCATGACCCAGAGATCAAGCATTGCATGCTCTTCCGACTGAGCTGGCCAGGTACCCCATGAGATGAGTAAATTCTGAGTACACGAGAGATCAACATTTTTAAAAAATCTATCTCGGGGCACCTGGGTGGCTGAGTCAGTTAAGTGTCTGACTCTTGATTTTGGCTCAGGTCATGATCTCAGGGTCGTGAGATCGAGTCCCATGTCGGGCTCTGTGCTCAGGGCAGAGTCTGCTTGAGATTCTCTCTCTTCCCCTCCCTCCACCGCTCCCCACACTCATGCTCTCTCTAAATAAATAAAATCTTTTTAAAAATCTATCTTATTTCAATGCAGTAGCAATTAGCAAGTGGAAACTGAAATCAAAAATACAATACGTACAACTGCTTAAAAAGGAAAAAGTACAAACATATGTTATTTAACAAAACACTGATGGGATTTTGATGCTAATAATCTATAAAAGATCACACAAATAGAGACATACCACAGCCATTTATTGGAAGATACAACACAGAAATGATGTCAAATGACTGCAAATTGATACACAGGCTTAACACAACTTCTATCAAGATATCTTGTAGACATAAACAAGATTATTCTAAAAGTTATAAGGAAAGGTAAAGGAACTAGAATAGCTAAAACATCTGAAAAGGAAGAAGAAAGTGGTTGGAATCACTCATTCTAGATTTCTAATATAGTGAAACGTAATCAAGACTACATTGTATTCGTGGAATAAGAGACATACAGATCAATGGAAAAGGCCAGAAACGGCCCCACACAAGTACCTCCAACTGATGTTTGACAAAGGTATCAAGGCAACTGAATGAAGAGAGAATTAAAAAAAAAAAAAAATGATGCTGGACCAGTTGACTTCCCATACCAGAAAAAAAGAAAAAAAAGGTGTCTGAGAAAGCTTCACACCTGTACAAATAGTAGCTCAAAAATGATCATAGTGGGGCGCCTGGGTGGCTCAGTTGGTTAAGCGTCTGCCTTCGGCTCAGGTCATGATCCCAGGGTCCTGGGATCGAGCCCCGCATCGGGCTCCCTGCTCGGCAGAAAGCCTGCTTCTCCCTCTCCCATTCCCCCTACTCATGTTCCCTCTCTCGCTGTCAATTAAATAAATAAAAATCTTTTAAAAAAAAATGATCATAGTTTTAAATGTGAAATGTAAAACAATAATACTTTAACCTAGAAAAGATTTAGAAAAGAAACAACAGAATAATATCTTCAGGATCTATATACCTTTGCTATATCTCTACGTATCTTTTTTTTTCCACCTAGAGTTTTAACACATTTTGGCTTTAAATTATTCTGTGGCATGTACTATCTCAGGTTAAATTTAGAGAACTTGAGAGTTAGTTATTTTATTCCTCATAAGAATTCCCTGATGTGGATTCTGTTGTGAAAGTTATGGAAGAAATATAAAAATATTCATGACATTTGTAAGACTTCTTCCTATTATGAATTATTTTGTTCTGCGATGAACTGGTGAACCCAAGGACACACTGTTGCTTTAAAGGCCTTTAGATGTTCAGTAAATCTGTAGGTTTCTCTCTGGTATAAAGAATCTCATGACATCAAAGGCATGAATGTTTGACAGGAAGCCTTCAGATTCATTAAACTTGCAAGGCTGCTCTCCAGTATGAGTCCTGTGATGTTCTGCAGTTTTGATCCACGGGCAAAAGCCTTAGCACGCACATTACATTAATGTGGTTTCATCAAAGATGTATATCCTGATGCCCAGTGAGTTGTGAAGCCTGTGTAAGTCCCCTGCCACATACGTTACATTTATATGATTTCTCTTTAGGGTGGACTCTCTAATGCCAATTCATGCTTGAACTTACAATAAAGGCTTTATCACACTCATTACGTTTGTTACTCCCCAGTATGAATTCTCTGATGACTTGCAAGGCTCGAATTTTGACTGAAGACCTTCCCACATACATTACATTTATATGGTTTCTCTCCTGTATGAATCATCTGATGTCTAGTGAGGTTTGAGCGTTGAATAAAAGATCTGCCACACTGATTACATTTGTATGGTTTCTCTCCAGTATGAATTCTCCGATGACTAGGAAGGCTCGAACTCTGACTGAAGACCTTGCCACATTCATTACATTTGTAAGGTTTCTCTCTAGTGTGGATTACCTGATGGTAAGTAAGGCTTGAATACATACTAAAGGCTCTGCCACACTCGTTACACTGGTAAGGCTTCTCTCCAGAATGAATCCTGCGATGACGTGCAAGGTGTGAATCGTAACTGAAGACTTTCCCACATTCGTCACACTTGTAATGTTTCTCTCCTGTGTGGATTATTTGATGTCTAGTGAGATGTGAGCTCTGATTAAAGGCTTTGCCACACTCAGTACATTTGTAAGGCTTCACACCAGTATGGATTACCTGGTGGTTAGTGAGTTGTGAGCTATACGTAAAGGCTTTGCCACACTCACTACATTTGTAAGGTTTCTCTCCAGTATGAATTCTTCGATGGCTTGCAAGGCCTGAACTCTGACTGAAGACCTTGCAACATTCATTGCACTTGTAAGGTTTCTCCCCAGTGTGGATTACCTGATGGTTAGTAAGACTTGAACACTCACTAAAGGCTTTGCCACACTCATTGCAGTGGTAAGGTTTCTCCCCAGTGTGAATCCTGTGATGACGTACAAGGTGTGAATTGCGACTGAACACCTTGCCACACTCAACGCATTTGTAAGGTTTCTCTCCAGTGTGAATTCTTCGATGACATGCAAGGTGTGAGTTGTGACTGAAGACCTTCCCACATACATCACATTTATATGGTTTCTCTCCTGGATGGATTATCTGATGTCTAGTGAGGTGTAAACTGGGATTAACTGCTTTGTCACACTCATCACGTTTGTAAGGTTCCTCCCTAAGGTGTGCTTTCTGGTCTTGTGTGAGTAATGAAGAACGCAAGAAATCATTCCCACGTTTGTTAGAAATGTTGGTGTGGACACTAGGAAGAATTCTGGGATGTGGTGAAACTGAAGACCCATCGTTGACAGACTTCTCAGCTTGGTGATATTGGTAAATTTTCCCTTCAGTATGAAGTATCTGCACTCCAGCCAGACGTGACTGAAAGCTTAGTCCAAACCTGTTTTCAATTGGTTTATTTCCTGCATCTCTTCCACCATATTGATCTCTTCCACCATTGAGATTTTTGTTAAGGGTCACAAGCACTGCTTTGTAATTTCTTTCACCGTCTCCCCACTGACACTCAAAGTCACGAATATTTTTCTGGATTGCTCTAAAGGCATAATCTTCGGTGTCACGGCTTTTATGTCTTTCCAATATAACCGTCTGCAATACTTCCCCTGTATTACTGTTCTCTTTGGGTGGTAATTCCTTGATCATACATTTGGAAGAGATGGCTACAAGATATAAAGAACCATAGGTTTCCCATTAATTACAGAAAAATTTCATATTGAAAAACAAATTACACCAAAAGTAGTACATATTTTGATCAGTTATGAAATGGAACCATGATCTTCAATTTTTAGGAACACAAAAGGAATAGGATTCTTTAAGATAAAAGGGTGATTATATGTAATTCAAATTAATTTTAGAGAAGCCTACTTTAAGTAATCAATGGCAAAAAAAAAAAAAATCAGTGTACAAACTTATGCTAGCCCTGAAGAAGGGGTATTTTGCCATCGTGGCCCAAAATCACACACCACTTCACAGAATATATATGGCTCGGTCATATCTGAAGAGACAAAAATACCATACATGTTTACTGTATACTTCTTGTGTACCAATCAATGCTCAAGTACAGCATGAAATACTCCAATGCTAAAGAATCCGAAACAAACTTATCTAACAAGTAATCTAGTAAATGGCAATTTGGAGTTGGAAAACCATAGAAGCACTGGGGAGATGAGGAAGAATTTAATCAAACAAAGTTACAAAAATATTTTTCTGAATACTGGTTATAAAACCGTATTCACCTGGAATGGCCATTTTGCAATATTAACAAGTGGTTTAAGTCAGTTATGTTGCATTATACGTTCAGAAAAACCAGCATCTATAAATCACGACAATTAATAAAACATTCTAGTAACCTATAGTGAAACCACAATAGAAATAATAAGTAACCACAATTACACAAAATTAAATTACAGTTTGTGGAATTCTTAACAAATCTCTCTTAGGAAAAAAAGCAAGGGCTTCTATTCTAGAACCAGCACACAATATGAGAACTGGAATTTGTGTTAAGACCACTCACTTTTGAAATATCAAGTCACGTAAATACTTCAACATTATAAAGAATGATAGTTGGAGAAAGAAGTCAGAAATCACAATTATGATTTTAAGTAATCTCTATACCCAACGTGGGGCTCAAACTCATGACCCAGAGATCGAGAGGCACAGGCTCCACCGACTGAGCCAGCCAGGCACCCCATAAATCACAATTATGATTTTATGCCTGCAGTTATGTAACAGCCAAGCAACGGAGCAATTCCCTATTTACACACTGTTCTTTAATTTTTTAGGTCATTGTCCACAAAGTATATGTAATAAAGAGCTTGTGCATGAAAACCTTATTAACTAAGGCCAGATCAAACACTGTTTAGACAAAACTGCAGAATAAAAACATACAAAATATAATACGGGCTGCATGGTCGGAAAGTCTGTGTCCACCCCAATGTGATGGTGTTGGAGGTGGGTTCTTTGGCAGGTCATGAGGTTGGAGTACCGTGAATGGGATTAGAACTGTTATAAGAAGAGATATGAGTGCTTGCTACCTCTCACTCTTTCCATCATGCAAAGACACAGCAAGAAGACAGTGTTCTAAATCAGAAAGGGAATGCTCATCAAGAAATGAACTGACTAGCACTAAGATTTTGGACTTGCCAGTCTCCAGAACTGTGAGAAATAAATTTCTGTTAGTTAAGCCATCTGGTTTATGGTATTTGTTATGGTAGGCTGAGCCAAGACATAGGCAAAAGGCCAACTGATTAAAATCATGACAGAAGGTTGCTGCATCTTACTAAGCAAAGGAATTTCTGAGACTTTACTATAAAACATGGAATATTCTAAACCTTCTAATAGCGCTAACATGGTTAAAAGCCTCAAAGCAAGGGGCACCTGGGTGGCTTAGTCAGTTAAGTGTCTGTCTTCGGCTCAGGTCATGATCCTGGGATCCTAGGATCGAGCCCCGCATCTTCGTCAGGCTCCCTGCGGGGAGTCTGCTTCTCCCTCTCCCTTTGCCCCTCCCTCCACTTGTGTGCATGTGCGCTCTAATAAATAAATAAAATCTTTAACAACAACAAAAAAAGCATTGAAGTAAATTATCACTATTTTTTTTTTTTTTAGTAGGCTCCATGCCCAGAGTGGAGCCCAGTGCAGGGCTTGAACTCACGACCCTGAAATCAAGGCCTGAGCCAAAATCAAGAGTTGGATACTTAACTGACTGAGCCACCAAGGAGCCCCCAACTTACCACTGTTTTTTAAATAGGGCCAGTAGGCACACGGGGTTTATGTTTCTAACTCCTATTTATAGAGAAAGTTAGAGAAACAGGATTGCCCTGGGCCTGCAGGTTCAGACAATGTGTTCTTATGCACGACTGCCTACATGTCACAGTCAAGACCACAAGCTCTGAAATAAATACTTCGATGGAGACAGCAGAGCTGAGTTATGTTGCTAACAGTGTTGCTCAGCCATCCGGAGTACCTCGTCACCCCTTGCACATAGAGATTTCCGTAGTGTCCTGAAACAGTGATACAGTGGGTAAACAGGGACCCTTCCTTACACAGTGAGAGCAGTGTGGCTGGTGAGGGGTCCTGTGGGAACGAGGGTGTTTGAGAGTACAAAATTAATATGCTGGTAAGCACTAGCGCAGTCCATCCCCATCAAGGTACCACGTAAGGAGAGGCCAGAAGGAAGGCGAGGAGTGGAGGGCGGGAAGTCAAGAGCACATGCGAGAAGTGGTCGAACCTGCCAATCTATGGGAAGACAAATGTACCAGGGCAGTTAGAATTGCGACCTTGGAAAAAAAGAAGGAACTGGTGTGGCAAATACTATCATGCTGTCCCGTTCTTAACTGCAGGAATTACAGTATGGGTGTGGGCCAAAACGGAAGACATTTAACACGGAGGGAGCATGATGACGCGGGAAGAAGCCATGTTTAGAAACAAGGGAGGATGGGTGGCTGCTGAGGGCGAGGCAGAGGGGAAATGGCAAAACGCTGGTAAAGGGGATAAAATTTCAGCTACACGGTGAATAAGGTGTGAGGAGCTAATGTACAACATGGTGACTATAGCTGATAATGTCATTAACTGAAATTTGCTCAGAGGACAGAGCTTAAGTGTTCTCACCAAAAAGAAAAAGAAAGAAAGGAAAAACAAGTGGGGTAATGTGTCTTACTTGATTATGGAAACCCTTTCACAACCTATGTGTATTTCAAATCACTGTGGGGTACACTTTAAATATATTACAATTTTCTTTGTCAATTACACCTCAGTAAAAGCTGAACAACAGTTTCAAAATTTTATCCACCCACTGCCTCCTCTGAAGACCTAGAGAACAGTTTACATAAATATTTCACTTTCTTCTAAGAACTAGGGAATCAAAAGCACAGGGGTAGAACAAATGGAATTGGATATTTTGTTTTTCGTGAGGCTTTATGCATACTTGAGCTCTGGCACCATGCCTGATTAATTGCGCTGATCATCGGAAGGAAGTGTAAATGCAAAGTCCAGATGCCACATTCATTTCTGAGTCGACAGGGCTTCGATCTCAGTCAAGCAGGGCAGGGGCTCTCAGGCCAACAAGGGGAGATACAAAGATACCCAAGGGCAGACCCCCTCTGCTGGAGGGACATTTTCCTCACCCAGGAAGACCAGGTTCCTGTAGTTCTCCACCATCACGTCCCTGTACAAGGCCCTCTGAGCAGGGTCCAGGCACTCCCACTCCTCCTGAGAGAATTCTATGGCCACATCCCTGAAGGTCAACCATCCCTGAAATGAGAACACATTTCACCAAGGAACTATGGAGAGAGTTCTTATCTTCACATAAAACGAGAAGAGGAGAGATGTGTAAGGATGGATTCAGATGAAGTGGGTGTTCTTACAGATCCACATAAGGTATTTCTGAACAAGTTATGTGTCCCTTATTTTGGCCTATTATACTTTACCATAAGAGGTTAGGATGGCTTCTCAATCAATATGGCTTTTTTCATTTTTGTGGACAATATAAGAAATATAAAAATAGGAAATCAGGGGTGCCTTGCTGGTTCAGCCAGAGGAGCATGTGAGCCTTAACCTTGGGGTTGTGAGTTTGAGCCCCACATTGGGTGTAGAGATTACTAAGAAAAAATAAACTTAAAAAAAAAATAGACAATCAATACAGGGCTACCTATAAGAAGTGTCATTTGTTGTGTTTTACGCACTGAATGATATTCAATATCTAGATGAGCTAGGGCACAAGTGGTATCTTCAGAAACGACAATGTCCACAATGACTTTAGAGAAAGGCCAGAATCTAAAAATTGGGATAATGACAGCAACCGCAATGAATAAAAGCTCTTGAACGCTTCCCAGGTGCTAGGCATTACACTAAATGCTTTACACGCACTAACTGTACCAACATCATCACGCATTAAAGACAGATCTGTTCCCATCGTCCTGAGGAGACACCTGTGTCACACACATTCCCCAAAACCCACCCAAGCTCAAATGCTAAGAAATGGCAGAACAAGCTCCTGAATCCAGACGTTTAGGCTTTGGAACTGAACTTAAACAATTAAACATATATACCAGACAGCATCAAGAGTATGCTAACAGAGGGTTCCCTGAGACAATGTGAAGTAAGTTCAAGGCTAAGAACGTGGAAATGGATAAAAGGTCATTATACATGAACACACATGCACATAAATGTCATTCTTCTTATACTGTTTAACTTGTGCTAGAGTAGCAAAAATGTAAAGCCATGGAAAATGCTTAAGATTTAACCTCAACAATTAATAACTTATTTGTGAAGTAATGCTAATGTCTTTTCAAAAACTAGGGGCTTGCACATCCATGCATTCATGCACAAACATATATATATATATACACTTAAATGTACTGAAATAAGAGAAGTCATCTCTCCATGACACAAAGAGGCCTCCTCATAGGCTCCACGTCATTGAGGCAGCTAGAGATGGACTCTAAGTGGAAGGAGAGGGACTGAGGGAAGGCCTGGGGGGGTGTGGACAGACATGGCTCAGGCAGGACACTTTAGAGTCAGAGAAGATTAGCGAGTCCAACAAGGGCATAGCAGGAATGAGAGACAGAAAATTAACCAAGAATATGACTTTACCTGATAAACAGCCATTCCAGACTCCTTCCTTTCCTCTTCCTCCTCTTCCAGGCTTCTTCCTCAGACAAGATCAGTCTTGAGAATTCAATCCTAAGGATCAAGAATCTGCAGTTTAATGCTTAGAATCAATCTACGTCCTTCCTGCACCACAACCTCACACAGGGAGACCTCTCCGTGTGGAAATGACAGTCCTCTGCTGCCCACTGCCACAGGAGGGGGGCTCAGGGACAGTGAACTCCTCCAGACACCAACAAGTGAGTGTCCCCACCCCTTTCTTCAGAACTGGCCGCAGCAGTGGGGACCTGGGCTGGACCCGGCATTCCCCTCCAGGTCACAGACCCGCCCTGATCACACCCACGCAGAGCAGGGCCCCCTCACCTCTCCCTCAGAAACGGAGGACCCAGAGCCTTGGTGCTCAATGCTGGATACACATCAGAAGCGCCTGGGACACTTTAACTGGTACTGAGGCTGGGCCCTATCCGCCCGTGACCACTGGAAGGGGACTCTCTGGGAGGGCCACAAGAGCTGTATCTGCAATCCAGTGTGAGGCTGGGTGCAGCACACTCCCAGGAGGCCAGCCCAGCACACCTCCCACCTTCTGGCTCTGCTCGCCCCTGGGG